AGGCCCCGCAAACCCGCCCGTCTCCCCCCCCCCGCGCGCAGCCGCTACGTGGGACTCCCTTCCGCGGGGCCCCCTCGCTCTCGAGTCCGCGAAGCCCGAGAGCGCGACCCCGGGAAGTGGAGCCCGACGGCGGGACTGGAACTCGTAGCCCCCAACGGGCGGCGCCCTCCGCCCGTTATCCACAGTTACCCGGCGAGGCCCGCTTTTGTCTTAAAGTGGAGAAGTAAAAAGCGAGACGAACCCCACGTCCTGTCCTGAGAGAGACGCAGGACACTCCGCCATCACGCTTGGGTCTCACCAGCCGCGGGAATACAGGGGGTGCCGCCGCGAAGGAGTAGCTGAAAACGGTACGCTGCGACTTTAAAAAAACGGTTTTTTGAATGATACAACTTTATTTAGTGCCCATACAGGAGGCAAACAATGGCTGGCTCCAGGACGCGGAGATCTTCCGGGGACAAAGGCGGGTACAGCGGAGGGTGACGAGAGGAGCGGAATACGGAAGCGGACGGAAGGCGGAAGCAGGCAAGGACCGGGAGGTAGGGAGCGGAAGAGGTAGCCGCGGCGCTGGTCACGTGGTCGGGCCGTCACGTGGCTCAGGCGGCTGTCTGCTGGCGGGGCCCCGAGTTTTGTGCGCCTGCGCGGCGTCGGGCACTGGGAGCGAGCCCTCTGCCTAGAGAGGTTTGGCAGCGGGAGCGGGAGACAGCGGCGGCCGCTCACTGCTCTGCAGTCGTGCGGCGGAAGCTTGCGCCCCTGGCGCTTCCATCTCCTCCGGCGGAGAGGTTAGTGCACTGCCTTCCCCTCGTATTTCGTACGGTGTAGCGCAGAAGTCTTGGCCTCGGTCCCGGTCGCCGGAAACCTCTCGGTACAGTTTTGATACCGCTATGACCTCTTGCCTCTGACAGTGATCTTTGATCGACTTAGCTGAAAGTAAAAGCACTCGATCGGTAAACACTTATTAAAGTCTTTTTTTTTTTTTGAGCCAGTGCATTGTGCTAATTGCAAAGAGCAGTAAAATAATTTGGAGCTTAAGGAAATGAAAGGCGCATTCCCGAAGATTAGCGCCATTTATCCTTTAAATCCTAGCCTAGTTGTAACCCGTTTTCTTAATTGGTATTATACTTAAAAGTTGAAATGTGCCCAGAACAAAACATAAAAATCCTTATCTTTATGGAGTTTGCTTTCTAGAGGGGGTAGAGAAGCAAAAAATCCATCCTTTTTTATGTTTTTCATTTATCGTGCAACTGGTGTATATATATCTTTCTGAATTACCACATTTGTTGTCTATCACTCCCAGTGTAACTTAAGCTTCAGAAGAGAGGGATTTTTGTTTTCTATTTTCATCTGTATTATTAGCATCTGGGACAGATGTCTAGGGCATGGTGACAACTCAGCTCCTGTTTGCTGTATGAATCAGTAAACCGAAAATTCAAGGTATACAAGTGATGCTAAATGCAATGAAGAAATATAAAGGAGAGGAAGATGGAAGACTGGATAGTGGTTGGGGGAGACTTTACTGGGAGAAGACACTTGAGGAAAGCTCTGGAGGAGGTGAGTGATGAGTGAGCCTTCCAGTTAGAAACGAAAGTGCAAGGACCCAGAGGCCAGGAGTGGCTGGAGCGAAATGAGAAAGGGAGACAGGAAACATCAAAGTGGTGACCACATATGCCATTTTATGGACTTTGACTTTATGGTACGTGAAATGGGAGGCCATCAAATTTTGCACTAAGGAAAGATGTAATCCCACTGAAGTTTACAAAGTATGATTTGGATGCTGTTGAGAAAGATCTGTAGGAGGCCAAGGGCAGAGGAAGGAAGACCAGGGAGTGACTGGTGGGAGAGGGAGTGACACTTAACCTAGGAGCAGTGGTGGTGATGAGATCTGCCCCACGTAAAGCCAGTGGAATTTACCGACATAGTGTGTGGAGGATAAAGACAATCGCCAAGGGTGGCTCCAGGTTTTCAGCTTTAGCTAATATAAGGATGTGATTGTTGTTTGTGAATGGGGAAGACCACAAGAAGGAGTTTTGTGGGAAGATTTCAGAAGCTCACTTTTGAGTACGTTACATTTTTTATGCTTATTGAAGTGGCTTAGAGATAAATACTTGATAGCCATCCATGTGTAGATGGTATATACACCTGTGAGACTGGGTGAGGTCACCAGGAGATTTATACGGGAGAAAAGTGGCCCTGAGACAGCCCTGGTGCATTCCATTCTTAAATGGATGAAAAAACCTGACTATAGGTGCAGCCATTCAAGTAGCAGGACACTGCCAGTGTGGTATTCTAGAAGCCAAGAAGAAGATGCTTTGAGGAGGATGGAGTGATCAATTGTATGAAATGTGGCTTGGTATCTCAGGCGAAGACTGAGAAGTTACTTGTATTTAAATATGCAGAGGTAATCAGTGACTTTAACCAGTGAGCCTTGGTGGGCTGCAGGCTCCTCAAAGAAAATGAAAGAGTCCTGGTTAGTATGCAAATTTCCAATTATATCTTACAATTAGGCTCCTCAAAAGCCACTGTTCAATTGACAGGGAATGGTGCTGTTTAAAGGCAAACTGCAGTTGCTAATTGCATTGACCTAAACACAACACCAACTTTTGAAGGTATTTTGAAAGCAGGTTCTACCTCCTAAATGTCATTGTGACTCATGTTTGTTTGTTTTTAAAAGAATTATTTTATTTTATTTATTATAATTATTATTTTTAATTTGTCCAGAGAAAGAGAAAGCTGCCAAGTCCAGGACTCGAACTGCAGTTAGCCATGTGGGAGTCCAGCGTCTTTAACCACTACTTGCTGGCCCCTCATGCTTATTTTTAGTGCTATGTAAGGGAGGTGTTACAGTGTAGCAGTTAAGAGTATACTGGGAACTGGAAAGCCGGGATTTTAATTACCTCTCTGCCATTCGCTAACCTAGCACTTGGCCCCTCTATACCTGTTTCCTCATTCATTAAATGCCTGGTTAGATAGGTTATTGTTAGATAAAACAGCCCTGGTGTATAGAAAGTACTCAAAAGCAATGTCCAGGTTTTGCTCATATTTTTATTAAAAATATGTTTCTTAAACACACATTTAACCATGTGAGTGTCACACTTAAGGCTCTGGCTTCCCCTCGGTATAGAAACAATTCAGGATCACTGAGTCAATCTTTTCATGATCCGGCCGCTGGCTCCTTTTTAAGCACCTCACCTCCTGCTGCACACTCTTCCCCTTCCCGCATTAACACCATTTGTCCAGTAATACTGGTGTGGGTACCTACCTGGAGGGTTTGCTTTGCTGATCTTGCCCCCTCGAGACCCAGGTCAAACGTCACCTCTGTGAACCTCCCCGCTACTCTTCATCCCAGGTGTTCCTGTCTCTGGATGCCGTAGCAGTTCGTTTGACACACTCTGTTTCATGTGCTGGAGTGAATTTTGAGATCACTGTTCAGACTTGAATCTCTGACACCTACTATGTTATTTTTTCAAGAATTACTGATTAGGGAACCAGCAGTTAGCGTAATGGCTATGTCGCTGGACTCCCACGTAGTTGACCACGGTTCGCGTCCTGGACCCGGTGGCTTAAAACTCACGCCGGGCGCATGTGTGTGTGTGCCCAAGATCCCTAGAGGAGAATGGAGGAGAAGGGATTGCGGCATGGCCATCCTTCCTGGGGGGTGATTTCTCGCTTTCTGTCTCTATGTCTCTCTGTCTGTCTGGCAAGCGCATGCGCCCTATAGCGAAAACCTCTCAAAAGAAAAAAGAAAAAAAAAAAGAATTACTGATTACCTAGTTGTAGGTTTACGTTTGTATAACAGACACTTTATACTGTAAATAAGGGCTGTAGTTACTACGTATATAATCTGTTTGTTTGTCTGGAGTGAGTGTGTGTATATGTGTTTCTGATAGCTCTACCCCCACCCCCCCCACTCTTTTGTCCAGCCCCAATCTGAAAAACACCCTTTTTCTTTTTTTTAAGAGATTTTTTACTATAGGGCACGTGCGCTCGTCCGACAGACAGAGAGAGACAGAGAGATAGAAAGCGAGAAATCACCCCCCAGGAAGGATGGCCATGCCGCAATCCCTTCTCCTCCATTCTCCTTTTGGGATCTTGGGCACACACGCACACGCACCTGGCGTGAGTTTTAAGCCACCGGGTCCAGGACGCAAACCGTGGTCAACTACGTGGCAGTCCAGCGACATAGCCATTACGCTAACTGCTGGTCCCTGAAAAGCACCTTTTCTGACAAGCAACTTTAATCTTTCTGGGAGCCACTCTTGACTCTTCCTGTAGAGACATAGAAACACTTGTATGTTTTCTCAGCATTGTGTGCTTTAGCTCAGTGGGAGGGTCTAGTCCACTGATCTGTGTAATGAGGAGTTGAAAATGCCTGTTTCAGGCCAGTCTGTGGGGTGGTGTTTACAGTGGCTGGATTCCACATGACCAAATGCATGGTTTGAGTCCCAGACCCAGCAGCTTGAGGAACAAGTGCGACACGTATGCCCCAAATCCGGAATCCGGATAGGAGAACAGAGAAGGAATTGCTGCATGACCCTGCCGCATGGGGTGTGCTTTCTCTCTTTCTCTCTCTCTCAGTCTGGTGGAAAAAAAAAAAAAAAACATGCCTATGTCCCACAAGACGTCAGCACCACGTGGCAGAGACCTTGGACTTTAAGGGGTCCACCCCTAGCCCTTGCTCATTGTTTATCTTACTATAAAGGTTAGGTAAGTATTAAGTTAAAGGCATTTGTGAATACAGTTTTTTTTTTTTTAATAGCTGATACACTAATGAAGTAAATGAAGATGTCTTATTATTCTTTTTTTTTTTTTTTAAGGCCCTCGTCCTATCAGTAGCTTGTGATCTTCAGTAAAAAAAGGCCAGAGAGGGGCTGGCAGGTGACATGGTGGTTAAGGGCGGTGGACTTCCACCTGGCCGACCATGGTTTGAGTCGTGAACCTGGTGACTTGCTTTCTCACTCTTACTCTGTCCCTCTCTGGTCAAAAATAAATAAATAAAGGGAACCAGCAGTTAGTGTAATGGCTATGTCGCTGGACTCCCACGTGGTCGACCACGGTTCGCATCCTGGACCTGGTGGCTTAGAACTCACGCTGGGCGCCTATGCATGCGTGCCCACAATCCCGAGAAGAGAATGGAGGAGAAGGGATTGCGGCGTGACCATCCCCCCTGGGGGGTGATTTCTCGCTTTCTGTCTCTATGTCTCTCTCTGTTTGGCAAGCACACATGCCCTATAGCAAAAACCTCTCAAAAAATAAATAAATAAATAAATAAAAATAAATTTAAAAACAATTTTAAAAATAAATAAAGTTAAATAAAATAATTCTTTAAAAAAAAAAAAAAAAAGTCCAGAGGTTGACTACAGGAAAAGTGGCAGAAACACTATTTATTTTCTTGTTCTTTTATTAGATATCAGATGTATCTGTTTTGCAATTATTTTTCTATAGAAACATGCCTATTACCTAGGGAAATATTGATATTAGATATATTTTAAACAGTAAAATAAATAATCATGGACCAAGCCCTTATGTAGCCTAGCAGTAAAGGGAGCCAAATTGCACATGGCCAACCCAGGTTCAAACCCCGGTCCCAGCAGCTTGAGAAACGCTGGGTGCACATGAGTGCTCCAAATCCCGACAGAATGGAGACAAGATTATGGTGTGACTATGCGCTCATAGGGTGTGCTTTCTCTCTGTCTCTGGTGAGTACTGGTGCCCTCTGGAAATTAAAATAAACAAGCAAACTTGAACTTTGAATTATTTTTCTTCTAGCCCGGGATGTGGCAGTAATGTCAGCCAGACTTCTCAGAGCCCTAACTGGATCATGCCGTCTTTTATCAGAAGCACATCAGTGCAGAAGATTTGTTCACCTGACGTCACAGCCACATAAGGAGTTTGAAAACCCATCCCGCAGCGCCCCTCCAGTAGCTCGGAGCTTGGTTTTATCCTTTCCTGATAGGACGGCCGGCGGTCTGCACAAGCTTCAGATCCTGGAAATGAACTGGCGACTGTCACAGACAAGCATAGGCTCCCCATTAAATGCCTCCCATTGCCAAGATGGAAAAGCCCACCTTCCAATCGTGAAATCGTTTGGTACTCACAGGAAAGTGACCCACAAACCAAATCTACTGGGTTCTAAGTGGTTTATAAAAATACTAAAAAGGCATTACTCATCTTTATCAACAGAAACATTTGTCCCGAAACAAGACTTTCCGCAAATCAAGAGACCACTGAAAGCATCGAGGACCAGGCAGCCGTCCAGGACCAACCTTCCAGCTCTGTCTGTGAGCGAGGTAAATGGTGCAGCCGTGGCACTCCCCTGTCATCCCTGTCTGCATGAACGTGCATTGCACGACAGTCTCACTGCCAGCCTGAGAGAACTAACAGTCGGCCTGCAAGTTTTCATCAAGCAAGGCCTTTGAAGCATAATATATCCAAAGGGAGTGAAAAATCTTAATTTTTAAGAATGAGTGACACATGGGCAAAGCAAGATATAAAAATATAGGTTATGAAAAAGGAATAGTTATTGGTCTAAAGAATCTTTGACAAAGAGGACAAGGATTATGTCCAGTCTAGGAATGAACTGTGAAAAATATCTACTTTTAAAAAATTAATTAGAGACCAACAGATGGCATAATGGTTATATTGCTAGACTCCCACATAGTCAGCCATGGTTCACGTTTTGGACCACGCTACTTAAAACTCAGGCCAGGCATGTGTGCATATGTGCCCAAAATCCCAAGAGGAGAATGGAGAAGGGATTGCCGCATGGCCATCCCCCCCGGGGGAGAGTACTTTTTTGCTTTCTGTCTGTCTCTCTGTCTCTCCAGCGAGCACACACACCCTATAGCAAAAATTGCTCTTAAAAAAAAAATTAAAAATTCTACATCAATTTTGAAAAGTTCTAACTATGCAGATGGGTAAGCATTCATTAACCTATGGTAATCACACGAGGTGGTGAAATGACATGGCAAAATAAAATCAAAGCACAACTAGGGCATGTTTACTTTTTTTAATCCTTTTAAAAGTTCAAGGGGGTGTTTTTAGCTTGCTGTTAAGAGGTTTCTGGGAATTTTCCAGGTACCATTTGCATTTTCCCTTTAAGTGATACACAGCATCCGAGTTAGGATCAAACCCTTGTTCTGCCTTTGTACCTTGCATAAAATACTTAGGGTTGGACCTTGTACTTAATGTTATTAAATCAGAAAGGACTGAAACAAGGCAAAGGAATCTTTTGTGTTGATAGTCATCAACATGAAAGATGGGATTGTGCATATTTAAAACTGATGAGGTCTTTTGAATCTATCAGAAAACCGCTTAAACTGCAATTCTTGATTCTGAGTAGAGCCCCTGAGCATATTTAATTTGGGCTGTGTGTGTGTGATTGACTGTATGCCCGACATCCTTTGAAAGGATGTGTGTGTGTGTGTGTGTGTGTGTGTGTGTGTTTGACTGCCCGACATCCTTTGAAAGGGCATATGTACCTGAATTACTCCTCTGAAATTCCAAAGTAGGGAGTTAACGAGCAGTTTTCAGTTTGGGTCCTAGTTTGGTTTCCGTCCTTGCATGGTTTCTTGGAACCCAGGATCTGAAGCCTGGAAGGTTGTGCAGGTTCCACCCTCACTGCTTCCTTCTTCCTAGCTCTCGGGTCTGGGAAACGTGGTATTTAAGTTTGAAATTAAGGTGACATTAAGTTTGAAAACTTGAATTTATGGCAGATGCAAAAGATCAACTCATGTTTTCTTTTGTTAAATCTAGCAGCATGGCTAGATAGTCCATGAAGTTTCTTATGCAGAAGTTGATGGGATCAGAGAAGTCACTTTCTTTGTAGTTGGTTATGAACTATCAAAGAGACTTAATTTGTCTGTGCTGTACTTAAAAACAATTTTTCCGGATTTTACTTTTTGTTTTTCTTCAGTCTTTTTTCCGCTTCCATCCAAGAAAAGGTATAAGGTAAATTTTCAAAATTCAACACAGTTCAAATAAAATAAGAGTATTCAAATGTAAGACAGAGCAAACAATTGTTATGAACAGAGAAACAAATGTTATGAGGTACCTGTTATAATCTAGTTGAACATTTAATTCTTTTTTTTTTTTTGAGAGGTTTTTGCTATAGGGCGCCTGCGCTTGCCAGACAGACAGAGACATAGAAGACATAGAGACAGAAAGCGAGAAATCACCCCCCAGGGGGGATGGCCACGCCGCAATCCCTTCTCCTCCATTCTCCTCTCGGGATCTTGGGCATGCACGCACACACGCCCAGTGTGAGTTTTAAGCCACCGGGTCCGGGACACGAACTGTGGTCGACTACGTGGGAATCCAGCGACATAGCCATTATGCTAACTGCTGGTTCCCAGAACATTTAATTCTGAGATGCCCAATAATTAAATAATAAAAGGATTTATCATATTCTGGGATTTTATGTTTCTTGTTGTCTGAGGTGGGGGACAGAAAAAATTCTAAAAGTATCTTAAATAACTTTTTCCAGCACTGAAGTTAAGGAGTCATTAATTTCCTAGGTCTGTTTATAGTAGACATTATGTAACATACAGGTTGAGCATCCCTAATCCAAAATACTCCAAAGTCTAAAACTTTTTAAATTTATTTATTTATTTTATTTATTTATTTTAGAGGTTTTTGCTCTAGGGCATGTGTGCTCACCAGAGAGACAGAGAGAGATAGAGAGACAGAAAGCAAGAAATCACCCCCCAAGGGTGATGGCCACACCGCAATCCCTTCTCCTCCATTCTCTTGGGATCTTGGGCACTCACGCACGTGTACCCAGTGTGTTTAAGCCACCGAGTCCAGGACTCGAACTATGCATAGTGGCTTTATCACACATGTTATCATTTATAATGTTCCATTTCTAGTTTCTTCATATATATATATATGTGTATACACACACATATATATATAATTATATATATATATATAAAATACATATGTATATAAATATTTTCCCCCTATTTCTCACCCTCTGCCATTTCTCACCTTCCTCCCACATTATCTCTGGTGTCTAGAGTTACTTTCCATTTTTTTCCCCCCACATTTTATTGATTTACAAAATATCTTAAATAATCTAACTGCTTTTAGTAGCAAGTGCAGCTGATATAGACATATCTGTGAATACATGTCTGACTTTAGGCGTGAAACTCGACTCATTCTACTCAGAATGAATATCTATAAAGTAGCACCTAGTTGATGCTACATAGCTTACTGGAGTCATTAAATACGTATTTTTAATATGTTTTTTAATTTCAAGAAAAGCAGTTTTAACTTTAATAAATCAAAGTCAAAGAAATGCTAAGAGGGCTTTGCTTAAAACTGAAAGCTAGGAAACAGGTTAGGATTCTGTTCAAATAGGTACATGAACCTTTCGGCAAGACAAAAATCCTTAAATCTAGAAAACAGAGCAGAGAAGAAAATCAGTGATGTTTCAGTCAAAAGTCATAAGATTCTATTTCACCAGTTCTATCTCACGTACTTTATCTTCTGTTGTGGTCCAAACTCATTTTCAGGCTATGTGCCTATGGTCTGTGAAGCATAAATGAATTTCACGTTCAGATTTGGGTCCCATTGCCAAGATATGACATCATGTACAAATATTTCAAATCGGAAAAAAACCATAATACTTCTAGTCCCAAGCCTTTGGGATAAGGGTTACTCACTTCAATTGGAGTTTTGCAAAAACAGAAGCAGTATGTTGTTTTCTAAAGCACAGGAAAACAACATACTGTTTTCTAAAGTGGTCTGAGGTAATACTTTTAGAACACTGTCTTTTTACAACTTTACTTTTATTTTTTCCAAAGATTTATTTTGGGACCAGCAGGTGGTGTAATGGTTACATCCCTGATCTCCCACCTGGCTGACAACAGTTCAGGTCCTGGAACTAGAGGCTTGAAACTCAAGCTAGGCGCGTGTGCATGCAGGCCCAAAATCCCAAGAAGAGAATGGAGGCGAAAGGATCGTGTTGTAGCCACCCCCCTGGGGGGTGATTTCTCACTTTCTGTCTCTCGGTCTCTCTGGCAAGTGCATGCACCCTATAGCAAAAATCTCTCAAAAAAATATTTTATTTATTTGTTAAATTTGACCAGGGAGAGACAAAGATAGAAAAGGAAAGTCAGAAATCAAGCTGCCAGATTGGGGACTCAAACTACAGTTGGCCATGTGGAAGTCCAGCACCCCAACCGTCATGTCACCTGCTGGTCCCAACAACTTCATTTTTTTTGGAGACGTTTTTGCTATAGGGCACGTGTGTTCACCAGAAAGAGAGAGAGACAGAAAGTGAGAAATCACCCCCCAAGGGGGAAGGCCATGCCACAATTCCTTCTCCTCCATTCTCCTCTCAGAATCTTGGACTCCATTCTCCTCTCAGAATCTTGGACACGCACACACATGTGCCCCATGTGAGTTTAAGTCACTGAGTCCGGGACTTGAACTGCGGTCGACTGCATGGGAGTCCAGCAACGTAGCCATTATGCCATCTGCTGGTCCGACAACTTTCTTTTTAATAGAGCAATCTTGAGATATGACTAGGGAGTATCCTCAGGACCGAAGGTTGACTTTTACTGTCCCACATTGAGGACCACTCCATTTTCATATGGGCATTTGGGGGCTGCCCAATCCTTTCTTCCAAGATGATTCTTTTTACCACTCTTGACAGAGACAAGGAAAGGGCTCTGCTCTGTATCACAGCAGGTGTGCTTTGTTGAGTTTCCACCCTTCGAAGCGGATTCTTACTCATCTGCCAAACTGCATTTGGAATTGGCCCAGTAAGGTTTCAGTCACTTTCTATATTGGAATCACATTTTTTTTTTTTTAAAAAAGTCTACCCATCCCTTCCGTAAGAGAGGAAGAGAGACAGGCACCCCCAGCAGGGCCCTCTTTCCTGGACCAGCCAGTCTGCAGCCCAGGTGCTCGTGCCTAGCTGCTCTGGGAGGCCCTGGAGCATGAACCCAGGACTTCTCACATGAGTCCAGATTTACCACTGCTTGGCCCCAGGAATTGCATCTTCACCTGGGTGCAGACCCCACAGGGTAAGCTCGGTCCCACGAGACTGACCACATCGGACACCAGTCACAGATCCATGTGGACAGCTGTTCTTCCCACTGACCTCTAATCTGGGGTTCCCAGGGCCTCCGCCTACGGTTTGATAGTTTACGAAACTTAGGGAGACCTCTTATGTTTACTAGTGTATTGTAAAGGTGGTTGTTATAAAGGATGCAAATGAACAACCAGGTGAACAGGTACATAGCGTAAAGTCTGTAAGTGCCCCAAACATAGGAGCTTGTGC